CCTAACCTAACCCCTAACCCTAACCCCTAACCCTAACCCTAACCCTAACCCTAACCCTAACCCTAACCCTAACCCTAACCCTAACCCTAACCCTAACCCTAACCCTAACCCTAACCCTAACCCTAACCCTAACCCTAACCCTAACCCTAACCCTAACCCTAACCCTAACCCTAACCCTAACCCTAACCCTAACCCTAACCCTAACCCTAACCCTAACCTTTTGTGGATGAATGCTGTGATTCATGTTTATTGCGCTTCTCCAATCCGCTTGATACCCTTGAGCCTCGACCAATCCTGCTCTTCTCACGGGGCTCCGTTTTTAATCTTGTCATTATCCTCTCCGCTATTGTAAAAAAACCCTCTCACTATCAGCGCCATGATCCTTACTCTACCCTCACCGCCCCGTAGGGTATTTCCTGATCGCTAAAAAGAGCGGAGCGGGGGCTCCGGATTAGACCCGGCGTTCACCCCAAGAAGTAGCACACCAGCAAACAACTACAAGGTCGAGCGGCCTCTCACCTTGGCTCGCTCTCCACTCTCTGCCTTGGGTATTTTTCCATTTTTAACGACGTTACGGCCATGCACCCTACTTTACGCTGCAGGCTGGGCCCTCAGAGCTTCCTTTTGAGGCTGCAGGACCCTTTCCTCCCATCCTTACAGGCTGTGATTCCAAGGAAACTTACTTATTGGTCAGTACATACCTTGTTCAAGGCCAACATGGCGGACAGGGGGGGGAAATCGATCTTTGTGGCATTTTGGCGCACGATGGAGTTGTGCTCAGGCCCAAGCGTCTTCATGTTCTTGATGTCTTTTGCCATCTTCATCAAGCCTCCGAGCGTCACGTTCGTGAACGCCATGCAGCACTTCGGTAGGCATAAAGGAGGCTTTGAAGGAAATGCAACAGCTCTTTCCTGTGGGGAGGGTTGGCAATTGATGTCGTGAAAGACTTCCGTCACCTTGTGTGGCCGCCCTGCCGCCGCCTGATCGTCCCCAGCGTCAAGAACCGCGCAATCGCGTCTCTTCCAAGGCAAGCTTCCCTCTCATCTCCCCGCATGTCTTCCCTTCTTCCTTAACATGGGCGCAGGCGGGGGCATCGTCCTCTCTGCCGTGGCGACCGAGCTCCTCCCGGCCATGAGCAGGCATAAGCACAGGTGCGTCAACGGGGGAAGCAAGTGAGTCTTCCTTTTCATGCAAGGGCTCCGGACCTTGTCTTTTCCAAGAGCCTATGCGGTGTTTAAATGCGAGGAAGAAGGAACATTGGGACGTGCGGAGGGCGGAGGTGCGGAGCTACGCCCAAAGTCTCGTGTACGCGGAGGTTGCTCCCTTTCTCCCCCCATTCCTCTCTCCCTCCCTTCATCCCCTCCCTCCGCAGCTGGCAAAACACTTTGGCGACCCTGGTCGGTTTCTTCACTGGCGTCGCCATGATGGTGAGCGTGGCCCACTTTTGTGGGGAGGTCGAGGACGTCGTAGAGGAGGAAGAGGAGGGCGAGGCGGAGGGTCTGGGGAAGGACGGGATGACTTCCCCCCTCGCCCGGGCTCCGAGCATACGGAAGGCCGCCACACTTGCTTCCCACCCACGCCCACGTCACTCCCCAGGGAGAGCTTCGGCTTGGCACGGCCGGGCCTGAGCCGGAGGAGGAGTCTGCTGGAGACCTAGTCGCGTAGGGAGGGCGGGCGGGAGGGCGGGGGGAGGCGGGGGGGAGGAAGGGAGCAGGAAATGGCTGTTGGACAGTTGCCTCCTACGGAGATAAATTTCGTCATGAGGATGTCCTCATCAGGTGGTCGTCCATCCCTCCCTCCCGGCCTCCCCCCCCCTCCCCCCTCTCCCTCCTTCCATTCCCCCCCCCCCTGGCCCCTCCTCCACCCCTCCCTCCCCTCCGGCAGCTAGCCGACCTCTCTCAAACCTCCCTTCTCGGCCCTGCCTCCCCCTTCCCTATGCGTCGAGCCGTCACTCTTGGAGGTTCCCGTGCTCCCCCCTCCTCACTCCTCACGGGCCCGCGGCGGGCCAAGTCCACGACCAGGGCCCCTCGGTCCTTCGCCGACTCCTCCCTTCCCGCCCCATCATCCAGACCCCCCCTCGGCAAAAACCCCCACCGCAACCTCCTCCCTCCTCCTTCCCTCCGAGGACACCCCCTTGGTCCGACCCTCC